TAATGTGACAATTCTCTGGATGCCAGCATAGTTGGATACGATAAGGAGTATTCTCCCTACGATAAGTGACCTTGTGGTAAATTCGATTGTTGGAGTACCTCATCTTGTGTTCTAACTCTAGACTTCATCCTAACCCAGAATTGACCCTAACTCCCTGTGGAAAGCCACTCGCAATGTGGGTTATCTATTCCCGTCTCCAGCCATCTGAAGTAGCCGGAACTGCAAAAGGGCTAGGTGTTAGTTTTTATTAAGACGGGTAGTGCGTGAATTTGGCGTCTGCGATTGGAGTCTATTCATAGTTTCTATCACAATAAAAGTTAATTCTAACAACTAGTACATTCAGGCTACGCTGAGGGATTAACTACTATCACGTGCAAGTGTTACTTTTGCGGTACTTTACGGCGCCGTGATGTTCGCTTACTGACTTAATCGTCTTGTCTAAATTTTATAAGTATATCCCTGTAGACTGATGTTTATTGTTTTATTTCATTGTATTTAGAAATTTCGTTGATTTATATCTGTATCTTTTCCTATTCTGTATTTTCATTTAACGTATTGCAGATAAATCTGAATACCAAAATACGGGTTTCTTAAAATTTCTGAAAAAAAGAAATGGCGGTTAGGGGGTCGTCTACCTCAACTTGCCTGGGTTCAAACTTACCGTTCTGCAGTTAAATTGGTATAGTCCGCGGCGCGAAGCGCCACGCACACCTTCTATTTACATGGGCAAGAACTACCGCAAGACTACCGCAGAGAAATGCATGCGCGTGGTAGGTAGTTCATCCCTATGTCAAGCAGTCAATAGGTTGTAAACTAATAAGCGTATTCTTGGGCGGCCATAGAACACTGTCAATGACTACTAAACAAAATATTAGCTGTGTCATGACCCGCTCAAAGCCGTCGAACATTGTCCATTGAAGTACACTTAAATAAAGCACAGGCAAGGAATTTCTTGTACTTGACCGCAACTTACGTCCAAAGGAAAGTTAGTTTTCTCAACCAAAGGGCCGGAGGTTCTCTTGGCTAAAGAGTCCAGCGTCCACCCTCAGGTCTGTCCTGTAAACGAAATGGAACAGTTCATCGCAATGATCGCCTAATTAAAGTCATTCCACTGAGTACCCACCACTGGTATTTGCCGGTGTACACATCCCTCATGTGAGATTGGCACCCTTTGTACAAGTCGGTTCTGGCATAGTGGAGGAGGATCAGCACGTGTGTGGCGCGCGTAGACGGACACTCTCGGGAAACATTGGATGCTGTGTTCAACGTAAGCGGCAGTCGGCCGAGGTTCAGGCAAGCGTGAGAGAGAACAACGACCGAGGTTAATCACGAAGAACTAATTCTGACGTCAGACCGGCGCGTTTC